GCAGGAATCCACAGACAAAAGCTGAGCAAAGGATGAGTTTTGAGAACAGATAAAGACGACTTATATTTAAGAAAGCCTAAAACTCTCTAGACCACTCCCACTGTCAACAGTTTAGGAATACAATACCCACTGGGGAATATTTGTTACAGAGAATAAATATTTTGAAGACATATAAAAATAGTTCACAGCATCAAGGTAACTGTAATATATTACCTTGAAATAAAACTTGTATTTAAAAAATTAAAAAGAGAAGATTATTCTTGTAGTGGTATCAACTTTTCATTCATACAAATATTAAGCAGAGTATATCAGGGTTTTCATATATTCACATTATTGCTTGCTACCACAACTGTACAACTGTATTCTTGATTTGCACTAATGTTCATGTACAGTAGCTTTAAATATTTAAAGTAAATTTTAAAATATTATTGGATTGCAATAAAAAAAAACCTAGGTATGAAGATATGTACAAATAAGATACAAGTAGAAGAAAAAAAAAAAAATACAACTGGCCTGACCCAAGCATACATCATATATCCAGTTAAAAAAAAGTCTTACACTTACAGAGAAAATAAGCTTTGTAAACCAAAATGAGGAGAAGCAAGGGTGCAATAAATAATTATCTAACACATTTAAACTTACACTGCTGCCTAGTGTACCCTGCTTTGATTATTTTTAATACATAGCATCTGCATTTGCATCTGGAATTGTACTGTTCCAAGATTTCTTCAATAAGTTTCCTGCTTACGTGGCTTTAAAACAAAAAAAAAAGAATCCTGAAAGGTCCTCTTGGACAAAAAGTTTTACTAAAACAAGTCCTTCTGCACCCTTGTGTACAAGGTCTAGTGAACAGTAGGCATAAAGCTAATACAGGGCATCAGCCTAAATTAAAAGAGCTATATCATAAACTACAATGCAAATGTATTTTTGTGATCTTGGGTTTTACTAACTAGAAGCATGCAATTTTCCCAGCAATTCTTCTAGTCTGAGTAGAATGATTTTTTTTTTTTTTTTTAGGCTTTAATTTAGAACCTTTTCAGAACCAGCTGACAGGAAATCTTTATGAAAACCACAGTCTTTTACTAATGCAATGACATTTGGGTTCCAAAAAGCAGTTTCAAGAACAACTTTATCTCCTCCTTTTGTTGGAGCAGACTAGCCAATATCCGAAAAATAAATAATTACAACTGACTAGTCACTGACAAAAGTTTAGGAAGGTCTTAGAAGGTACTTCAGTATGTAAATGAATGATTAAAAGGACCTACACGATGTACAGTCAATCATTTGTGTCATTTTTGGATAAAAAAATACTTCCTCACTTGTGTACCATTTTCAGGTGTGTATTTATAACATATATGTACACACACGCGCGCGCACACATATAAAAGACTCTTTGAAAATCAAGATACATTAACAGAAGTAGTAAAAGTAACAATAACTTAAGTAGTAGTTAACATTTGTGTGAAATTACTTTGCAGTTTGACCAAATGCACTTGGAACATGCTGTTATTAAAAAAGGGAAAACAAACAACAAAACAACAAACATAAAAGAATGAAAACACCACAAGATTCTGTAGAACCAACGCTATGTCACCACCAGGAGAGCACCAAGCAAGGCACCATTGGAAAGACAACATACTTGAATAAGTCTCTATAAATAAATCAAATGCTAATCTGGTCGAAAAATCGGTGTCTTTGGTAAAAATTCTATAAGGATGACCTGCATAAAAAGAAAACAAATATATATTAAATGGAAGATGGTGACAAACCCATTACCTATCAAAATAAAAAAAAAGGCATGTGAATTATAAAAGTACATCAAGTTGTGATGATGATCAAAGATCACTGTGCTTTCCTTAGTTAGAAGGCCAGCAGAAAAGTCATGTTTGATATAATCGTTTTGGCATAAAAAAATCAAAACTTACAGACTAAAATTCAATTGAAAAAGTTTCCCTAGAAATACCTAGCATATCTACACAAACTGAAATGAGCTACTACATAATTATTCTTTAACATAATTAATTTACCTTATTAAGAAACATTACAAGAGATAAAAGTATTCATTAAAGAAAAACAGGAGGCACAGCATACGCAAAGTTAATTTTCAATTAGACATGCAATTCCCTTTATTGCAAAATTGTTTCCACTTAATGCAGGATTCTAACATGTCTATAGTTCAAAACTTGTATAGAAAGGTCTATCAATTTTCACAAAGTTCCCATATCTAACAAATCTGTAAGTAGTAAACAAGAAACTTGATTAATGCTTCCGCATGATTATTCTTATGGTCCTGATTCAAATTTAAACCGTGTTCCTGAGGTATGTGCACATGGTAGGGTACACTCCAGAATACAACTGAAGTAATTATTCTACTTTAAATAGAAAGTTAAAAGAAAACATTCACTTGTGCATTTTATTTCTTCAAAGAGGTAGTCATAATACAGAGGTATGATTGTATTCATAAACAAATAAATGCATCTGATAACATAACTAAGATTTCACTTGTAAGGAGAGCTTGCCTTTCTGAGATGTTAAAAAAATTTCTAAATATTTTGTATTGTGAAAGAGAACACAACTTGGCTGCTTAGCAAACATTTTTATCTCTGATAACACACTGAACATCAGAAAAGAACTAAGTTTCTGATTTCTCAGGCAAACATTTTTGAAATAAAATCAGGTGTCTAAGTTTATTTTTAGAGAGATTCAGAAGTGACTTATTTTCAGAAGTGATGCAAACTGCTCAAAATGCATTCATCAGTGACATGAGTCAAGCACTGTATGCCTCAGAGATACCAGCGGTTCTGATATACAGGAAGGTTTCAAAAAGGGATCAATAAGTAAAGGTAACTTATGGCAAAGGTATAAGGCAATCTTGTCTTTATTTAATTACCTATTAATTTTGCAGCTACAACAGTGGATTTAGAATTGGCAAAATACCAAGCTTTGGGCACAAGAGTCTAATTTAAATAACCTGTTTTGGAAAAAAAACTGAGGATAAATGTTTGTTATTTAAAATTAAATCATCAACACAATATTAAAGGCATTTTTTAAGAGACTAGTAAATCAGTTCATTAAAAATGAGAAAATGGCACAGAGAAGTTTTGTAACAATTTTCTCATTGAACATATCCAGAGATAACATATTAGATGTTTCACAAACTGAAAATAAAATCTTTGATATTTATCCTGTAAAACTGTATGCCCATGCTTATATATTATTAACATGAACAGGTCAACTGCTTTTAATGGAATGTATGTTCATCTGTAAATGTTGCAAGCCATAGTATCTACAAACTAGCACTGTATGTGGGGACTTTTTCAATGGAACTTGCAAAACATTGGATGTGACATTTTCCTGTAGAGAAAGAATTTTCAGTGAAATAAAACCCCATTCATTGAGATAAAGCTTAAATATGCTTTCTGAAATCAGCCCTATTTCATTTTCATGCATCATACATTTAAATAAAAAACTACTGTACAATAGAAGTTACATAAAATCAACTTATTCAGTGAACTGCATAGTGCCATTCTGTAAGAAATCCATTTTAAAGATCTTATTTTTCAGGCTAGAAATAAGATCTAATGTAGAAACAGGAAAAAGGGGAAGACTAAAAGGAAGAGATTCTTTTAATACAACTCCCAACTATTTAAAGTCAGTTTAAAAATTTTTATATGCCTGATAACTTTGTTTCAAAGAACAAGGTACGGTTTAATGAAGGAACACAGATGAGTTACAACTAATACAGTGGATATTTCTCAAAGGCTAGTCTTTATTTCTAAAACAATTAACACTTCCTAAACCATTAAAAGAAAATACGCCAACTCCAATGTTGCTTACATGTTAGCAGTTTAATTTCATCCTAGTCTATATATCTCCAAGATATTTTGAAAATGGAAATAAAAGTAGCACCAAAAAAGAACAAGAAGGCTGCAAACAAAATTAAATCCCACACTGGATACTATTAAACGGTATATAATTTCTCACTGTATATTTCCAAGAAGGGTTTATGAAGTCTCTGCCAAAGATTTGAATAAGTTAAAACTCCAGAGATGGTCTTAAAAATATTTTAGTGACACCAACTGGAGATAAAAATACTTTTAAGACTGTTGAGGTAAGGGGGAGTTAAAATCTAAAAAGGCTAAAGGTTTCTTAAGCTCCAACAGCTTAGTTGAAAGGTCTTCTTCCATACTTTTAGACTTGATTAGCATCATATAAACCAGCCATATCTGACTTGCTGCGTAACCAAAGTTGTGGTTATTCTTTATACAGCATCTAAAATTTCACACTCCATCAACACATGTTCAAGCTATTTTATCTTGGCAATTAATTTATTATTTTTCAGAACACAGTGAAGCCTTGTTTTCAAGTCATTCATAACTTTATAAATCAGTCCTGCACATGAAACCATGCATCTGTGAACCGTAGAAAATCCTTGCACTCAGGCGATTAAGCTCCTGACACCTTTACTGATTAATAATCATGAAAAGAATAAGATCAGAAGCAAAATAAATGATCATTTAATAGAGAAACTCACAAAACAGCCCTTTAACTTACATATTCCATCATGTTATTCGTTTCACATTTCCTTTTGCTTAGTCTCCAATGCAAGCACAGCTAGACAAGGAGGAAAGAAAAAGAAGAAAAATGAGCTGTATTTTATTGCAGCACACAGACTAGCCCATTTGTCCACCTTTCATATTTTTCGTTCAACAAAAGCATCTGTTTCCATACTGTGCAATTCAAACTCCAACAGTACGAAGCTGCTCCCTGCGGCACTCACCTTGTGGTATAACCTATTGTTTTCCCATTCTAATAACTTCTCAATCGATCTTCGTGTCTGGAAGACAAATGAGAAAGAATTTTACTCTTGACTGGTTTTAGAGAAACTTTGTTTTGCAGCTGCTTTTGTGTGAAAAGGAGAGAGGTACAGGACAGTGACTGAGTACAGGGTGGTCTGCAGTACTACCAAAACTTCTCTGGTATTAAATAGCAACTAGAACAGAAACAACTTTCTATGACACCCGAATAACTATATTCAAACACCTTTAAACAAAACCTCTTCATGTATATGCTTTCTGGTTCTTGTAGCAGTTATAACATTAAAGCCACAGAAATTTTGAAGTGATCTAAGTAAAAAAGCAAGAACACTGCACCCCCAGTATCAGTGGTCTAAACGCCCAGATTGTAAACAGGTTGGGATCTAAACTGACAAACGTTGAGAACTGTTCTGCAACCCCACAGGTCACGGACAAATACTCGATACTTTGAACAAAAGAGAAATTTTTCTTATGTTCATATCCAGATCTTAGACACTGAAAACCAAATGCAGGAAGTTACAGTAAATTGCACAAATAAATTTACTAAGTCTCTGATTTGCATGAAGAGCAAACCCCCTATTTAGGATTTTAAAACAAAGTGTTGCTTGCCTATGTTGCCTACACTTGCCGATTCAGATAGAGAATCCTGAAAGCTGTCCTGCACAGCTTTTTAAGATTATGCATGCTAGTATTAAAGGACACTCTGCGTTGGGAAGTTTCATAGCATCTCGAATATAATTTTTCAGTTTTATTTGCATTTGAGAAATACATTCTGACATTTATGGTCATTTGACTGCCAGAATATATACTGCTTAGCTCTAAATGGGGTTTGCTACTGACTACGAATAAAAAGAGGATAATTCATGGTGCCAGGTGTTAAGATGAGACTGACAGAGCTGCAGGTGCAAAAGGACGGAGCAATGACAAGGATCAAACACAACTTAGTGCAGCTGCAGCTTCCTTACAAGGCAGAGAGGGGTGAGGGGAAAGGATGAGAAAGCATCTTGCTGTTATTACTACAAAATACAAGTACTGTAAATGAACCTTAACAAATCAAACTAAGTGCTGTCACGAGAAACAAGAATGTCCAGAGTAAAACAAAAATTAGACAGCAAATTATTCATTTCCCACCAACTACTAACACCTTGTTTTTCAACCATCAGTTTCTCTCTAGTTTAATACCAAAGTGGCTGTAGGGAACCACGTCCAAGCATGTACCGTGGTCACGTGGTTAAAAATTAGATCATTGCTATCTATGAGCAATCGTGACACTCAATTTTTATTATGTCATATCTTTAAAAGTACAAGTCAAAGAAATATCAAAAGGTGGATGTGCCGGTGACTAATTTACAACATCGACTGGGAACTGAGTATTTTGGGGGTTATTGTTATTATTATGTTTTTAAAGACAGTGCCCTTTAACAATAATCAGTAGACCTCACTTGTTTCTTTGTAAAGATAGCCTTTTAGAGTCTGCTCTCCTTTTAAATGAAAATAGGGCAGCAGTTATGGTCACACTTTTGTTAATTTAGTTGCCAGTCAGCTCCAAATCAAAAGAAAATAAGGCTGCAGAGTGTAATTAACATTCAGTTCAGTCGTTTTGTCCCTTGTCTAGCCCCCAAGCTTTGTTAAAATTGCCATCTGAATGCTGAAGGCTGTAGG